AGACAAAAGGAAAATAGTGCATAAAATACAGAAGCATATCCAGTTAAGATTCAGTGGACATGCTGTTGTCAGGGCTTCTTAAACACTTTCTTTTGAGGCTTTTGGATGGAGGCGCTGAAAGGACATCACCATGGAAACATGATGTACATGAATCCTGATCCCATGGGAGAGTGGATAGGCTTTGATTTTTATTTATTTATTTATTTATCTCCTCCATGCATGAGTACATATCAGAGCAGGCTAGTGGAGTGTGTGATGCCACTTTTGACTATATCACAAAGAGATCCCATATGCTTTAAATATCCACTCCACAGGGTGATAAAGGAAGACATCACTTTACATATTATATATTTATTATGCATTAGTTTATTTATTATTTATTAAATCTATGGACAGATATGGATTCTTTCAGCTGATATCAATTGGTACTCATGCTGGGGGTGTTCTGCATGTATTTCTAAGGCATAATGTTTAGTAGTTACCATGGTGACACAAAGCACTGATGTTTTTAAATGGCCTGAAAACTCAAGAAAAAAGATTAGCACCATTTTACCAACCATCCCAACATATAGCTTACTCTACAAGAAAGTTCTTTTTTCAGCAGTTATTATTTTTCCCATTGCTATTTATACTTTTTTGAGCCTCTTAAGTACTACTGGAGTAACAAAAGAATGCCTCAAGGAAAATGTTTATAGTGTCCAAAGAAGATCAAACAAATAGTCCTTGATCTTCCTTCATGAATCTCTGGAAAAAGTCATCTCCTCCAAGGCTAGTCATCTAAACATTATGTTACCATGGCAACAGGTCATCATGTTTTACACCCATGTTTGTCACATAGTTAGACGCTGTGTATGCGCATCTGTGTGTGTGTGTGCGTGCGAGTGCATGTGTGTGTGTGTGTGTGTGTGTGCGTGCGTACGTGCGTGTGTGGAGGGACAGATCATAAATCCGGTTCAGAGCAGATAACTAGCCCCTGCTTCTTGGCTGCTCCTCACAGAGTGTGTCAGTATGTTTCCAGTAACATGGTGGAGTGTGATCTTTGCCAGTTACAACAGTGGACTCACCCTTCCCAAACCTCTACACATACAAAAATATGTCCCCATTATTCACTGCCATTTTAAAGTGCAGTGAGACAAGAATCGGAAGGGCTGCTCTCAATATTTGTGCTATAATTAATACAAACTAATCAATCAAATTTGCTGTTAAATTGCAAGACATATTAGGCTTTTGAGCATATTATAACATACTGTATATCATTAATTTAGTTTTTGTTCAGGGGAAACCACAGTGATCTACAATGGCTTGAATATATCCTAAGGTTCAAAAATGCTGAACTGAGAAACCCATGTCCTCTTCATAGTGGCATAATCACAAGTAAGTACAATGAGGGCGGAGATAGGGGGTTGGTGAACGGTGAGCACTCAAGCCTGAAATGCAGGACAGTGCAGGATAACTCAAACATGTAATCTTGGCAACACAACTTTGAATCTGCTCGGCAGCTTGTTCCCCACCCCCTTTAAAGTAGTGCGCCAAGGGATTTCTGAATCATACATATTGTGTTGAATAACTAAAATCTGAATAATTAAATGCCTGTTAACATTGTAAATATACAATGTTTAAGCCTGCCTTTCATTGTTGATAAACATCTAACTGTACCCCATCTAAGGCTTGCCATGACTCTTATACGCAATTTCTTACGACCACTAAAATTAGTAGCTCTCTGGCCTGTTTGTTTTGTTGGTAGCTCATCCTGATATAGCCTGATGTTTTGCTCATTAGCTCCCCCTGTAGTCTGGGAGTGGTTCTGCCCCCAGCTGTTTGATGCCTGTTGCTGGAAGTGATTTGTAAGAGCAGAAGGTTAAAACTATCTCCATCTGCCACTGAACTGCCCCAGTCAAAAGAGCTAATCCCTAATAACTGAGGTCCAATGTACATCTGTTGAGTTTATTTGACTGGATTATCCCCTTCACTTTCAACACCATTTGTTGATTAAGGCCTGATAATCCTTTGTAAAATTATAAGATTAAGACAAAGCAGTGTGTGTTTTAATATAAGGACAGGAGATATGATATGATAATGCATGCTAATATGAAGCAATTTGAACTAAAGACCAAAGTACTGCATTTGACTCAGTGTAAAAATACATAAATATATAAATAAATATATCTCGTAGTTTAGTAACAATTATGATGATGGTATTACGGTAGGAGTTGTAGTTGTAGTATTTGATGTACTTGTAGTGATGGTCATGAAAACAGTATAAAGAATGTTTGTGTAATCCTTCAGTCATCCAGGTAGGATCCATAGCAAAAAAAAAATCTATTTTGTCAACTGGACAAAAATCAAAAAGAAAAGCTTGGCCCAGATACACTCAATGTTACTGAAGCACAATATACTGCAAACAATATTGCACTAGGTTCTACAGGCTCTATTTCCGCCATTTTATTCATTCTTAGTTCTAATTTAATTGAGTGTTGGTCTTGGTTAGGTCCACTGTGTGTATTTATTATTGTAGCAAAACATAAAATCAATAATATTGTCGTACAAATATTGCATTTTGTCTCATATTGTTGTGTGGCACAGCCCTGTATTGACTTTTGTTTTAGCAGTACTGCTTTTGCATGAACTCCGACAGAGATTCAAACATGATTATACTGTACATGACGTTACATTTTCAAAAGCAGTTATACAAGTCGATTTAGACTGTAATGCTCTTGCAATGTAATTTTACATAAACCAGGTTAGAGGCCTGTGATATGAGATAAAACCCTTCATAATCCTCTCTTTGTGTACATCCCCCTCACCCACCCTATAGAGGTAGATTAGGACCGTTCTCTGTGCCATCTCTGGAAACGCTTGCTAGTCTGAATAGGATTCCGGCACGTTCAAATACACACAGTACAGCCCCCTCATAGGCATGAAAAGTACCAGTGCGGCTCTGCGTAGTGCTGTGACCCCAGATATTAGCTTTCCCTCCATGTGTGACGGAGGCCAACTGCCACAACAAATATAGTCACAGACCAGCTCCCTGCACTGTTCTAAGGCGGATACTCATGAATACAGCTGCAGTGACCTTCCAGCACACTGAATGCACTTTACATGACGGATAATTGCGTTTTCATTTGAGCATAGAGAAAAAACGCAGTTTTTGTATTCTTGTGTACCTGAAAGATTGGTCGAGGTGTACGGTCCTTTAGGGTGCTGCAGATGCTAGGCAGAATTTGGTCAATCTTAGGGGTGTGCAAAAATATAAAAATATCAATATATCTCGATAGTAAATTTGGTGATATTGTATTGTTGTTGTGAGCTGCCATATCAATATATCAGCAAGAGTATTTTTTTTATATCTTTTAGCTTTTTTTTTTTTTTTGTGACAGCTCTATAATTTTGTTGCTTATTTAGAGGGAAAAAAAGTATTTATGCCATACATTTGACCTATTCACTCTTCTGATGTTTAAAATTGATGTATTTCATATTGACTTTCCAAAGTAGTGGGTTAACAAAGAAATACTGTTGTTAAAATGTATTTGATTCTTAAAAAACAGCAATACAGCAACAGCAAGTATCATGTATCGTCATATTGTGCTAACATCGTGTCTTGAGCTATGTATTGTGTATCATATCAAATCATGAGGGACCCTGTGATTCCCAGCCCTACTAAATCTGTGGAAAAAAATACCCAAAATTGTGCCTTATTGTTGACTGAACCTAAGTTATAGGTACTGCAATGTTTTGAGGTATTAGGTTTATAATTGGACCACAAATACAATAATTAGAGGTTTGTGAAATGATAGTATATTCTGTATTTTAAGATTGCTGCAGGGTATTGCTGAAGTTGTACACTGTTCCAAACAGTGTGAATAGATTTCACTTAAGTTGGTTGTGATTTGTACACAAATTAAATCGTTGTCTTTTCTTAAGTAATAGGAACATTTTGGACAACATTAGACTTCATTGTTCTCCCAAACATTATAATGCTAATTCCAGTTATCCAGCAGGACTGTGCCATCTTAGCCAGGAACATTTTTGGACCTAATCCTTCTCTTTTCTGGACTGTCACAATATGTAACAAGTTGCGTGCTGTTTTATCAAACAAAACTAGCAAAATCCTGTAACAATAATGGTTGCTTTATAATGTCAAATTGCTATACAGAATCCTTGCAAAACCCTCTGGTTACAGCCCTACGGCTCTGAGCTCATTTACATGTGTCCGCTCCATACGGCTAATTTGTCATCTTGATTCATGAATGTCCAGCTGCCAAAATGACTAATACTGCAGATAAGTCAGACCCTCACTGCACTTAACGTGCAGAGGGCCACTAAATGAAATGATCCCCGTGACAAGATTATTTTAACAAAAGTTGACTTGGCTGAAAACCAAATACAGCCAGAGCAGAGACTGTGTTGATTTTATTCATTTCATCTTAACTATGCTGGATAGTGCTTATCTCTTATGTTATGCTCAAATCAGTAGCGCATACTCAATCTTTGAAGTAAAAAAAAAAAGTGTCTACATAGTTAAAACATGGCTCTTGGCTAGTTTCTTGTTTCCAGTCTCTCTTTTCCTCACTTTGCTTCCTTGTCTTCTTTCCTTTCTGATTTCCCTCTTCAGTAAAACCATCAAGGTGAAAGTAATCGACGATGAGGAGTACGAGAAGAACAAAACCTTCTACATTGAGATCGGAGAGCCGCGATTGGTGGAGAGCAACGACAGCAAAGGTCAGAGGTCTGGGTCAGCTGTATGACCTTTTGACCTTTTCAACTTCAAACCATCATTCCGAAAAGGTTGCATGGTTATGGAGATAGGATCGCCTCTTTTCCTATCTTGTAACATGCAACACAAGTTCCCCTCATCACACCACATCCACCTCACCACCTGACCGAGTGCATGAGCGAATGTTTGTGTAATTTTGTGTTACTATTACATTTCATATTGTTTGTGGAGTTCGCATGTTGACCACGCCCCTGTGTATGTGTCCATCCATGTGTGTCTCATACAGGAAAAGCATAACGGTTAGGATTCTAGACCGGGAGGAGTACAATAAGCAGTCATCGTTCTACCTCCTACTTGGAACGCCACTATGGAGACGCAGAGAGAAGGAACGGACAGGTGTGATGGTAGTGTGTGCTGCTCTAATCCCAAATCAGCAAAGTTCATGAGCAGATTAGCAGTAAATTAACATCAAATTTGGCTAAGGCTGAGTAATATCGACCAATCACGATGTACGACTCAATTTTATTTGAACCAACAAACAGATTAAATGCTTTCAATATTCATTTCCTTTGAAGGACCCATATTACTCTATTTTCTGATCTATGTTATAATGTTGTTTTCTTGTCAAAAAATATACCCAGAGTTGTGTTTTGTTTCATTCACACATGTTTAACACACAAATCGTCCATATTTAAGATGAGTTCTTCTCTCGAACTGAAAACACTCTCTTCCACCTTGATGCCATGTGTAATATAAGAAGTACCCCACTGTGTTTTTACACCATCACTAGAATCATTGGATCATTTCAGCCCTGGAATTTCCAATCTCAAGATAGAAGATAACTTGAAACCTACAGCTTCATGACATCACAAGTTGGAGTAGTTTGAGCTTTAGAGATGTAGACACACTAATATTAAAGGATTACAAGCGTGTGAATGAGACAAAATACAACTCCAGTTATGTTATGATAGTAGACAATTTTGAGTAATACTGAACCTTTAGCACAGATTAGTCAAATTTCTTTCTCCAAAGTCTAAACTCTGTAGATCTCTGAATTAAAAAGACCATGGAAGGCTGATCATTGACAATTAGAAGTGACTTTATCTTGACTAAAATTCAGTTAACTGCATGGCCCTAGGATTAGCAATAAATTTGAAAATACCTGAACACAAAATAATGCATAAATCTATAGTCTAATGTTGCCTAAAATAAATGCAAACAAACCTGGTCCAATTGCAGTACTAAATTGCATCAGTTTTTGTAAAATGAATACAAAATGTAAACTGGAGACACAAATATAGTTTCAGTTTCTCCATGGTTACCTGCCATTCTGACCTAAAAACAACACAGACTTGCACTTGCTGATTTGGGATCTTGCTGAACTTTGGAGTGGAGTCAACAGCTTGGTACTTGTGGTGCTGTGGTTCAATTTCCTTTCCTTTCTGCTTCTCCAGAGGTTTGTTCCAAAATCTCAGTGGGACTCACACCTGTCCCCTTCCACATCTTCTCCATCTTTCTGTCTGTCTTTCTGTTTTCATCTGTTACTAAGCTGTTTCCTTTCACAATAGGAGAAGAAATGTCACACAAATGTCACATTCACAATACATGCAAACAATGTTGGATGAAGTACTCAGTTTAGTTACTTAAGTAAAAGTACAGATACTCAAGTAAAAGTGAAAGTATCATGTGGAAAAAGTTTAGTTAAGTAAAACTACTGACATGTGTGTTTAAAAATGTACTTTAAGAGTAAAAGGTAGTATTTTGCAGAGATTTTTAGAACAATTAAAGCATCAAATGTAGTGATTTGATGTTTTTGTGTTTGGTTTGCTCAAATTTGGGATGTTAACTCAAATTAAATGTGCTAAAAAAAATAGTCTCAGCCATTTCAGCAGGTCTCAAAGCATAAAGAAAATAACCTTTACTTTTCAGGCCAGTTAAAAATGTTGCGGATTAGAAATTTGAGATACATGCTCTCAAATGTAGTGAAGTAAAAGTTAAAAGTACCCACTGTAAAAATGACATAAAGTACAGATAGCTAAAACTTAAATATTGTTCTTTTAATTTTTCCACTTCATTACCTTCCAACACTGTGTACTAATCTGCTTGCAGGTAGCATACAATTTCAAATGTAAATAATTGGTGACCTACATAATGTATGCTGGTGCTACAGATGTTGTTCATTAGCATGTAGCATCTGTGCATCTGTTTCCACCTCCATATTATTCATAAGAGAACATCACTGCAGTCTAAAGTTATGTGACATGCTGTTCTTTCTGATTCAATTTATTTCCAACCCAAACACTGGTAAAGCAGTCTTTAGAAATTATGAAACTATACTAAAATATGATATGAAAATGATGTAACTGGAGGCACTAATTGCTTGAGTTAATTAAAACTTCACATAATCATTTTTTAGTGTGTATGAACAATTTTTAAGAGGCTTTTCAAATTGAGATTACCCAGAATCGATTAATTTTATGTACTAAACATGTTATTAACTTTCATACTATTCTCTGTAATTTATTTATAGTAATATAAAGCAAATGTCAAATGCTTTTGCTAATTTACTGTCCTTAGTTAGTGGGTATATCAGAGGAGATTATCTGAAAGGTTTATTTTCATGTCAAATGCAAAATAAATCTATTATAACCAGCTAGCTTTTTGGCGCAGCGTGCTCACAGTGTGTTGCTAAAAGGCTAATAATCCATTGGCAGTATTGTGATTCGCTGTGGATCTGTTTTCTCTGCTCTCTCCACACCACAGTGTTAACAGCCCTGTGTGTTTACCAGGCCGTGCAGTGTTTTTAGTGATGAGGGGATCAAAGACAGAGGCTGGATATGGCATTATCACAGTCAGAGGATCAAACGTACCTCCGGGACACACGTCACAGACAAATACACACAAATACACACAAATATACACAAACACACAAACAAAATGTGTGGGTCTGTAATGAGAGAGCTCTATGAAGCCAGGCGGCAACATTTTTCTTTGCAACAGTGAGCAATGCTGTATAGCCAAAGCCCAAAGCAGTATGTGGCTAATGTGTGTATAACATGTACATACAGAAATGAATGCATACATGGGTCGGTTAGGTCTAGACTCCAGTGTCTGCAGGGCGCTGGGACCATCTGCTGTGTCAGAGTACTTTGGCAGAAAATGGCTAGCAAATGGGTACATGTTAAAGGGCAATAATGAGAAATGCTCAGATGATTTTTATTTACAAGTGCAAGTTTGTCTTCCCCGTATACCAAGTACCAAATAGGAGTCTGTTTGTGGTAGTCAGTAGTACAGTTTTAAGTGTTTAAGTGGGTTTAAACAGCTAAACAGAGCTGCTAAACTGATCAGTTTGGAGGTATAAGAACCAGTGTGATTGCTCTAACAGGGATCTACACTTCAATCTTTTCCCTGCAGCCATGTGTTTGCAAACAAAAATGCCTGTCTGTAATCAGGGCAGTGCTGTGTGATCTCACATAGTACTTGAAATTGCAGTGCCCAATGGACCCAGGAAACGTACCTAGTTTGCACTAAAATTGCCAAAAAAAAAGGGGGGGACCAAGGATAGTAGACAGTGCTCAAAAAACATATACATACACTAGCAAACAAGTTGATTTAGTGTTTAGGTCCACTTTAAAGAAGGGTATATAAATACAGTTGATTACAGGAGGACAAAGTTTAGCAGTGGTGAAAAGAATACTGAAAATCTGTACTAAAGTAAAAGTACTTTTACACGACAAAAAAATTACTCAATTACAAGTACTGCTTCCAAAATTTTACTTAAGGGTGCACTGTGTACCTTTTCTAGGACAGGGTTTGCCATCTGCTTGTCTTCATGGACATGTTGCATTGTCTAGAATGTTCCACAGTAGAGATCAAACCTATCTACTGGGCGGCAGTAGCTCAGTTGGTAGAGCATTCGCCCACTGATCTAAAGGTTGGCGGTTTGAATCCAGCTCTCGACATAAACATCACAGGTTGAGCAGTTAGATCCACTGACCCACAGGTTGGCTGGTGTGATTCCAGGTCCCACAGATGAATGCTGCTGTTGTGTCCTTGGGCAAGACACTTAACCCACCTTGCCCACAGTGTCTGCGTACACTGGTGTGTGAATGGGTGAGTGGTTCCTTGTTGTAAAGCGCTTTGAGTGCCTTGAAGGTGGAAAAGCGCTATAGAAAAATGTGACCATTTACCATCTATCTGTGGAGAGGCAACCCTTTTCACAGAGAGAATTATTGTATTTTTTGTATTTTTCATTTGGAAGCATTTTCGATTGTTTTAAACCACAAACTGCTTATTCTCTGAGCTTAAGGCAGTGCATTAAGTACAAGTTTAGTTTTAAATCTACTAAAAAGGTACAACTGCCCTTTCGGCTCCTACAAAAATGTGCAAAATATCCGTGCACCAACTCTCAGGAGGTGTGAAACAACAACAGACACAGTGACTATCTTTTATCAACATCAAATTTAACACCCAAGCGTGTTTGAACTGTAGCAAACAGGCTGTAGGGTGCAGTGATTAATGCAGTGGATAAACAAGCTCAATGCTGGGTGATCAGGCGTTTGTCCATTTGAGATGATTCATTCTCTGTCACTGTGTTCATATTATCACACGTGTCAAGATATGGGCGTTAGAGAGAGAAAGCACTGTTGGATTAATATGTAGATAACCAACAGTGTAGAGAGAGAAATGACTGGCGGAGCAGTATTTTTAAAACTTAATATGGCATTTTGTGTCATAGTTTGCATTGCTACACACATTTACATTACATCTATGGCCAGTGTTGTAAAGTAACCAAATACATGTACCAAAAATTCGTAAGGTGCCCATATTCTGGAATAGTTACTTTTTGCATTTGGCAGTATTCAGAATGACTTTTCAAATCAAAGGAATACTATATACGATATACTATTAGTGAGAAGAAAAAAAAAAACATCTGCAAGTGTAATTTTTCCTTCTTTAATTAGTGATAGAAAATGTATAAGAAACAGTGACATAAACATAAAGCTATTTTTAATCCTATGTTGTGTTTATGTGCAACACTGCGTGAAAGTATTCCAAACATTCAGAATACAGTACTCTGATTGTCCCACGTATCAGAATATGTTTATTTTTAATCTTATTTCCAATAAGATAAGATGGATAATCTAATCACAGTACACACATTTTTATTCCTACAAACCTATTCATCCACATAGCTTGAAAAGAAAATCGTAACAGATAAGATGCTATACCATACCCCAAATGTCTCTCCAAAACCAATCTATATGACTTTTCTGGATTTATAGACTTTTTTATGACAACTGACATGACATCCTGTGGTTAAGACATGTCTAGAGAACCATAGTACCACTGGACAGCGAGGGCCAGAGAGTCCAGCTCTGCCCTCAGACCCCTGT